AAAAAAAAAAAAAAAAAAAAAAAAAAAAACAAGACAAGGCCAGGTGTGCCGGTGCATGCATGTGATCCTAAAACTTTGAATGCTGAGGCAGGAGGATTGTGAGTTGAGGGCTTCTTTAGATTCAGTGAGAAAAGATGGATAAAGAAAATGAAGAGGAGAGACTCGCAAGATGTCTCAGCAGGTAAAGGCTCTTGCCACCACACCTGATGACCTGAGTTTGATTCCCAGGACCCACATAGTGGAGAGAGCTAGAGAGAGCTGGTTCTTCCCAGGTGTTCTCTGACTTCCACCCACACACGTGCACCCTCACACACATGCACACACACAAATACAAACCAAGAGAAAAAAGCTCTAACTACAACATGTCCATCACAGCAGGGATGGGGCAAGGGAGTCCTTGTAGAGTCCAAACATTAAGAGGGTCCACAAAAATCTGCTCTACTTGCTCTTGTTTGGAGATGTTTAACATTTCTTTTTTTTTTTTTTTTTTTTGGTGTTTTTTTTTTTTTTTTTTGGTTTTTCGAGACAGGGTTTCTCTGTGTAGCTTTGCGCCTTTCCTGGAGCTCACTTGGTAGTCCAGGCTGGCCTCGAACTCACAGAGATCCACCTGGCTCTGCCTCCCGAGTGCTGGGATTAAAGGCGTGCGCCACCAACGCCCGGCGATGTTTAACATTTCTAAGACAAAGATTATGGCGGGAAATCTGGTCTGACAGCCTGGAGCAGCAGGCATATTAATAACAATAAAAGTTAACAAGAACCAAGATCCCAAAAATGAAGATACAGAGTAGGTGTCTTGGCTCAATACCACCACCCTACCCCCTACCCCCTGTACCCCACCCCGGGACTTCAAGCAGCAGATCAAAGGGTGAGAGGGAGGGCGATGAAGAGGAATCCTGACACCCTGGACGGGAGCCGCACGCACTGTGGTCCCTGAAGAATGTGAAAGGTGGAGTTAGAGGTGGCTCAGCGGTTAAGAGCACTGGTTGCTCTTGCAGAGGCCCCAGGTTCAATTCCCAGCAACCACGTGGTAACTCCACCTGCAGCTCCAGGCCCAGAGGATCCAATAGGCTCTGAGGGCACCAGGCACACAGTAGTACAGATATACATGTAGGCCAAACACCCACACACAGGGAAGGAAGTAAGATGAGTAAGACTTCGCAAGTGGACAGGGCTGTGAGCTGGAGTGTTAACAGGTGTGCTAAAGGTTCACAGGGCTGGTGTGTCTGAACACACTTCCGGTGATACACATACCCCTTCCACCTGACTGTATTATGGGAGTTCCTGCAGACTTCTGCCGCTGGTTTGATGTGAGCACTGGCTTAGATCTGCCTTTTGTGACTGCTACCTTCTGTCTCTGGTACCTTCCGTTTGAAGTCTGATCTGAGAGTTTCCTAGTGGTTCAAAGCCTATGAAAAACTTGGTTGGGGGAGGATCTGGCAAACTGGGATGTCTTTTAACTCAGAATTTGCATTTGGCGTTGTCCCTCCGGGGGCCTTAGATAAGAGGTTTTGGTATAGGATTGACCTGCTAAGGTGTGAAATGTATAACAATAAAAGGGCCCTTTGCTAAGCTACAGCGAGTCAGTCCATGAGAGGCTGATCCCCCTGCAGCTGGAAAGGCTAACATTTTCATCCCTAGAGTGCCTCCGTGTCTCCTTTCCACAGACCCGAGTGAACCCACACCCGATACACAGCAGGGTGGTAGAGTGTATCTCACTGGGCAATGTCTTCCCTGTTAAACAGACGCGTGGAGTCCACACACTGGCCGGAGTAAGTGCCCGTGTGAAATGGGAACTGGGCCTGCTACCCAAGGCACTCAAGCCCACGCCATGTGCGCAGGGATGGGAGGGCTAGTCTGGGCACAGCCTTGACTGGGGCCTACAGCAAAACTCTAGGCAGAGAATTTCAGTATGAGGGCTTTGCTGTGAGACCCACGACTTCCAGGTGAGTCACTGCAGGGACAGCCGAGCTCACGAGCATCACACAGGCTTGCGAGCGCTGCTGGGAAGGTAGGGAGGGGCCTCAGGAGCAGGGGCCTCTCCTCCTTCAGGCTGCCTCTGAGAAGCCGGTATTTCCCGACACTTGGACAGTGCCGAGTAATGGCCTGCAATGGACCTGGAAGCTGCCAGGTATGTGCACGGCCACCCCGAAGTGAAAGGACGACCTTCCACCGTAAGCAGGGGAAGGGCTCTGCTCGGTGGAGAAGCAGTACAGCGAGGCGGACGGTGCTGAGACCATGGCTGTACCTGTACTGCCTGACACACGCTCAGGCAGGAGGGCAACGTAACCTGGCCTGGTAAAGGGGTGTGCTTGGAGCCCGGGCCCAAGGAGGCTGGGGATCCCTGAAGCAGGAATGGTCGATGCCCATCAGCAGTTTCCAGCCATCCCCAGTACTCATGTTAGAAGGCCCCCTGATCCAGGAAGTAAGCAGACAGGGGAGCTGCGGCCCTGCAGTGATGGCGGAGTCTAGAGGTGTCCACCAGGCACAGCTCAACCGCTGTAGCTATGGACAGAGTCCTGGGGAGGGCACCCTGAACAGCTGGTGAGCCGGGGTCATGCTGGTGGCCTCAGGGGCTACAAATGGGTCGTGACAAGACTTGACACTGACACTGTCTCCAGAGAGTGCTCGATGTTTGGTGACATTTGGTGATAGTCTGTCACACAGACAAAGAGACAGTACAGATCCTAACATCTAACCCCCGGCGGGGAGACGTGTTCCTCAGAGCCAGCTCACCAGAGAAGTGGAACAGGTGCCCAAAGGCCTGGCTGGCTAAGAGGAGGAGACACGGGCATGGTGACTCACGCTCAAAACCCCAGCACTTGGGAAGCTGAGGCAGGACAATTATCATGAGTTTGAGGCCAGCCTGGACTAGAGTGAGATCCTTTACGTCCCTGTCCCCCATACACACCAAAGTCTGGACTCACACTCCTGAGAAAAACTAAAAGGAGCACGTGACTGGGGCGAGAGGGTGCTGGGAGCACATGGCTCTTGTCAAGAGAGAACGAGGCCACACGACCCCACTGTTTTTTCCCAGTCTCTTCCTCCACATCGGCTCCCCTTCTCTGCTCTCAACCCCGAGGAAGACAGTCACAGAGTACTGGAGCTGGGGGGATTCTCAGGCATGGCACTACCGTGGCTTTAAACATCATGCCTGAATTCCTCGGGACCCAGTGGGAGCAGACGGTGTCCACACCCCATCAGGCACCGCCAAGGGTGACAGTGACTAAGGCCACATCACCCACAAGACACAGTGGTGGAAATGGGACCAACACCTGCTCGGCACCATGGACCCCGAGCCCTAACTGGAGGGAATGGACTAGAGCAAGACATCTATTAGGCTGTGACAAATGCAAAGTCCTGAGCCACCCCAAGCTTAATCAAGGGTCCCCACTCTTATGAGTAAGATGGAGGGGAGAGGGTTAAGGAAGACAGTCAGCAGCTGTAGGTGACACCTACATTCCCAATGTCCCCCGAAACCCTGCCTTTACCACCAAGTGTGGCAGGGATGAGTGTGAGGGGTGTGGAGAGGCCCACTCACTCATGCTTTCGATGTCCAGAGAGTCCACGACAGATCGCCTGTGCTCGTCGCCTGCAATGGCCCGCTCAAAGGCCTTCTGCTTCACGATCTTGCTGCACTCCTGGTACTTCATCTTGGCATCCTTGTCATTGGGCTTCACCTTCACCACCTGGCCAGGAAGAAGGAGTGAAGAGGTGTCACACTCTGGAGGGCCAGCCACTCACCCAGGTAAGCCACCAGGGTCACTGCAACAGCCTTGGACTCACAGCCCTGGGCCGAAGAAAGGCCAGTCAGACCACCTAGGGGCCACCACATGCTAGCAGGGCAACCCTGGACCTGTCACCCAGGACTCACCTCACATCCCCACACCAAGCGTGCCGAGCCACCCCACAGGGTGGTTCAGAGACCAGGGCATTAGCCCACGCAGGTGCCCTCACTAAACAACTCGGATCCTGTTGAAACCAAACAGGGGCCCAGCTGAGCACACAGGTTTCAGCTCCCCGCGCAGCCAGTGGGGGAGGCAGCCTGGACTCCTAGCACCTTAATGTCCCTTAGTATAAAGTGGGGTCTGCTGAAAGGACCGAGGAGGACTGAGGTCCTTGGCACACAGGAGGTAGGTACTGTGTGCAGGTGGCAGTCAGCAGCTTGCTTCCCTGGGGCTTTATGGGTGACTGAGGCTCCAAACTGCCATTTCCTCTGGCAATGGGATAGGAGACCTAGCTCAAGTCCCATCTTAACCAGCGATGATACGCTGTAGGTACGCTGGTCTCGGTTTCCTCTCTGGGAGGGGACACTGGTAATAGCATCACCTCAGAGAGGGCTGTAAGAGTGAATGAGGGAGCACTTTTTTTTAAAAAACAGCTTTTGTTTTTTATTTTGAAGACCAGATCTCCTGTAACCCAAATTGACCTTAAACTTTTATTTACTATGTATACAGTGTTCTGCCTGCATGTCTGCCTGCACACCAGAAGAGGGCACCAGATCTCATTACAGAGATGTGAGCTGTGAGCCACCATGTAGTTGCTGGGACTTGAACTCAGGACCTCTGGAAGTGCAGTCAGTGCTCTTAACCTCCAAGCCATCTCTCCAGCCATGAGGGAGCACTTTTAAAGATCTGACACAGTCAGTTGTGAGCAGGCAGCTTTGGGCCACAGCAGTAAAAGGAGCCTGCCTGCACGCCACTCTGTCCCGCTACCCACAAACCCGGATCCCAGTTGCTTAGAAGACAGAGCTGGGCCTGGTGGTGCATGTCTGCAATCTCAGCACTTAGGAGGTAGAAGCAAGGTGACTGTTAACAACAGGCTAGCCTGGGCTACAGAGTGAGACCCTGGGCAACAGACTTCATCTCTGGGCCTCAGCTTGGCTACCATAACTGTAAGTGGACCCAGGCTGACCTGCTGTTGTTTAGCAGATCCTCTGAGATGGAAACATCCCATCCCACAGGGAAGCTCTTTAAGCAGACAAGTCAACTACTCAAAACGGCTTCAGGAAGTCCCTGAAACCGACCAGCTTCACTAGGCCCCTCGCTGCCAGAGTAAGCAATAAAGACTGCTAAGAGTAGCCAAACTAAAAGAAAGAATCTAAGACCAGACCAAGTGCCTAGAAGAAAACAGAAACCAGCCAAGGTGTCTGCAAGAGGTTTAGACCAACCGAGGCACCTGGGGAGGACACTCTCCAACCTGCTGAGCTGTCTGCAGGCTGTGCAGTGTGCTCTAGGTTCCCAGCTGTGAACTGTCACTCACGTTGGGGTGGGCTTTGGTGATGCAACTGTCTTTGAGTCATTTTTGCTTCCGTAGGTAACCCCTCACCCATACTCCCATTAAGTGACCCACTAAAACTCACTGGCTCAACAAGTTGGACTTTGGTGGTATGGTCTGTAGTGGGATCCCTATCTGGGGTAAGTAGACATGAATGTTGCATCTACGCCCCCAAGTTTTGTCATACACCCGCTGACCCACACAGCCATCCTAAGACTGGGCCCTCACAGCGACTGTGCTATTAGACAGAAAAGGAAGCCCCAGGGCTGGTCCTCAGAGTGCTCCCCCAGCCCCAAAGCTGGATGGCCGAGTGAGTCAGAGCCCTGGCAAAGACAACCGCTACTCCCTGCAGGTGCTTGGCCAGCAGCAGGCTGGGCAGGCCTAGGCTGGGCCACCTGCCAGTCAGCCCCACTGGGGTGTGGGTGTGGCGTCAAGCTTGAGGGCTGCCAGCTTTAGGCAGCCCTTGGAGCCCTTCCCAGGGATAGGAGGGGTGGCCAACTCCCTCTACTCCCCAGAATAAAGTCCACATGCTCCAAGCCTGGCCCTTAAGGCCCACCCTGTTTCTCTGGAGCCCAGTGCTGCCTCTCATGGGTCCCCAGAATGCCACCCTCCTGTAGCTCAGCACTTTGGGTCATGCTGCCCTTGTCAGCATACTTCATTTCTAATCCCAACCTCCTTTCTGCTCATCTCTTCCATGAAGCCTCCAGGTTGGGAATAATGTCCTCCCCACTTGAAGTGGCACTGGGAGCACAGAGCTATGTCCTCAGGAGAGCATGAATGCCTCCTCAAGAACAAAGGGTAGCAAGCACGTCCTTGGAACCAGACCTGTCTTCAGGCGGGCTGCAGTTTAAGGAGGAAGATGGAGCTGGGCGCTGCCACTGTGGCGAGCAACCCTGCTCTCAGCATCCTCTGTACCACTCTATGGGGTAGCCAGGACAAAGTCCACTAGACAGAGTGGTAAAGTTATTAACCCAAAGAGCCAGGGTTCTATGCACTCCTGGATTAGTTTACAAAGCCCAAGCTCCTGAATGCCACCACCCATGAGAGGCAGAGAGATAACAGTTCTCCAGACTCTGGGTTCTGGCCTTCCAGGACACATGTCCTGCTCATTCAAGACCCCCAGCTTCTAGAAGGAGGGAGTGGTGCTAGAACCCGCAGAGCCTGGTGTGAGACTTCACTGCCAGGCCTATCCCTGGCCAAGCAGCAGCAAGCACTCCATTCCCAGCCCTGCCATGCTGGTCACAGTGATTGCTGGGTATGACTGACAGACAGACGGCCCTGTCGAGCTCCTCTCCCGAGGAAGGGTACATTTTCACACTACAAGGCTTTTCAGGGCCTGAGACCCACTGCATCAGAACTTAGTGGCAGCACGAGACATTTCATTTCTTTCTCTTTTTTGAGACAGAGTCTCACTATGCAGCCCAGGCAAGCCTTGAACTCAGAGATTTGCTAGCCTCCAACTCCTGTTTCCCAAGTTCTGGGATTAAAGGCATGCACCACCATACCTGGCCCATGGACACATCTTTAAAAAGTGGCATTTGAGTCAGGCAGTGGTAACACACGTAATCCCAGCACTTGGGAGGCAGAGGCAAGAGGATCTCTGTGAGTTCGAGGCCAGTCTGGGCTACAGAGGGAGTTCTAGACAACCCTGTCTCGAAAAACAAAACAAAACAAAACGGCATCTGAAGCCAAGTGCAGTAATGTGGCCAATATTCCAGTGAAGCCCAGGCAGGAGGATGGCTTGATTCCAGGAGTTCAAGGATAGCCTGAGTTATGTAGCAAGACTCTCTCAAAAGTCAAAAACAAGCAACAAACCAAAGATTCTATGTGGACTGCATCTGTGGCAGTGTTCTGTGATATTTCTATGGTTTCAAACAGACACCGCACTGGGGGAAACTGGGAGCTGTGCAAGGTACATGTGATCAACAACACTTTCGAAGAGATGAGATGTCTTTAAACACTGCCATCTTCAGGGGCTGAAGGTACTGCTCTGTGGCACAGGGCTTGACATCTGTGAGATAATTAGAATTAGATGAGGTTGTGAGGCCAGGTCCCCTTGATAGGATTAGGGACTTTATAAAAACAGAAGGAATAGAATGGAAGCATGGCCAAGTGGTAGAGCCCCTGCCTAGAATCCCCCAGTGAGGGGCTGGGGTATGGCCAAGTGGTAGAGCCCCTGCCTAGAATCCCCCAGTGAGGGGCTGGAGGTGTGGCTCAGTGGTAGAGCCCCTGCCTAGAATCCCCCAGTGAGGGGCTGGGGGTGTGGCTCAGTGGTAGAGCCCCTGCCTAGAACCCCCCAGTGAGGGGCTGGGGTGTGGCTCAGTGGTAGAGCCCCTGCCTAGAATCCCCCAAAGAGGGGCTGGGGGTGTGGCTCAGTGGTAGAGCCCCTGCCTAGAACCCCCCAGTGAGGGGCTAGGGTGTGGCTCAGTGGTAGAGTCCCTGCCTAGAATGCCCCAGTGAGAGGCTGGGATGTGGCTCAGTGGTAGAGCCCCTGTCTAGAACCCCCCAGTGAGGGACCAGGATGTGGCTCAGTGGTAGAGTCCCTCCCTAGAATCCCCTAGTGAGGGACTGGAGCCATGGCTCAGCTGTAAAGTGCTTGTACAGCCCCAAGTTTTGTCCTCAGCACTGAAAAAAATACAGTAACAACAAATGGCATTGTCAGCTGTCAGGGTTCACTGGTAGTCACTACAAACCCTGGGACACGTGTCTGGGAAGTTGGACTCACTGGAATTGCAGAGGCCATTCAGGGCACATACCCTCCACCATGACGCCCACAGCAGACCCAAGGCAGTTCCACTATTACCCACATGGCCCTGCTGGCAACAAGGCCTGCAGTCCCCCTACCTTGGAGCAATCCACAACATCAGAGATGCAGTCACTCAGGCCTGCTGTGGATACCAAGCAAAGTGCCCACATTTAATCAGAGCTGAGTATAAGGGATATACCAGCAAGAGGAACCAACAAAGGGCATTATGGTTCATCTGCAGGGCATAGACAATGAGATTTGGCCCAGAGGGGCCAGATGGTGCATCACACAGCAGAGAAAAGCCAGGCTTCTGGCAGGTAGCCCATCAGGGACAGCCTTCCACACAACACACCCTTTCTCTAGTGCGTCGATCTACCACAGCACATCTGGCGCCCCCATGATGAAGCAGGCAGGAATACCACCAGTGCTAACTGCCCAGGGGCCAGCATGGTGCCAGGGACCTGCAGGTATGCCACGGTTAGGTTCTGGGGACAGGCCACCACCTTCTAGAACTCCTGTGAGACTGCAGGAGTGACCTGCCTTATTTCTGAACCTGTTTCCTCACCTATAAATCATGGTCCCGCTGTGCAGGGAACCATGGAGATGAAATGACTTTCATGGCATGAAGGTTGCCAGCATGTGAGTGCTGAGCTATAGGCCAACTCTGATTGTCCGTTTCTTTTGTATAACTCTATCAGGGGTGTCAAAATGTATTTCTACGAAACACATCACAAACCAAACAAACCCCACAGGACCCCACAGGCAGGGCAGAGAGTTTCGGAAGACCCTCCCCCACCCAGGTCTAGCCTAGGCTTGCATGGCTGACTGTGTTCTAAGTGTATAGGAAAGAACACAGTGATACCAACTGAGATGTGACCCAGGAAGGGGTGGGCCCATGTGGAAGGGCTAGCTGGTAAGTGTGTACAGGGGTACAACACAGCCCTGTGGTAAGGGAGACTGACTACTACGAGTCCAAGGTGTGCCCCCAAGTGGGAGAGCAAACAGACCCACCTAGGTCCCTGTGCCCTTGCAATGTTCTGGCACCAGCATAGACCAGGGGCCACAGGCCTACTTCACCATGGGCTGGCTAGGAGGCAACCCGGAAGACATGGCGGATGCAGAGCCCACTCGCTCAACCCTCACAACGACACTGCCAATGCAGGCCTTTGTGTTCCCTGGTTACAGGTGAGGCCCAAGGCATTTGAAGTCACACACCTCGGTCTGCGCTGAGCTGGCCACCAACCTAGACACCCCTATCTTGGGGGCTGTGCCTTCACATTCTGCTGCAGTGGCTGCAGATCTGACTCTAGCCCACAGGAAGAAAGAGACGCTGGAAGCAGTGGACAGCACCTATGCTCATGCACGTAAACCAGGCTTTTTACAGAACAAACTGCCTTTTCTTCAGCTGGAGATGGGTGCTGACCACAGACAGTGCTCCTGACTCCCAGACCCACTCAGATTCAACTATGGAGCTGGGTTCCAGTCTCACCTGTCATTCCTTCCAGGTGACCTTAGAGAGGGGTGTCTCCTTTCTATACAAGAGGTAAATGCACACATGCACAATGCTCACAGCTGTACTGAGCCCTCCATGTGCATACTGAGGCTCAAACAGGCTGACAGGCAGTATCATACGTTCATTTGCTCCAACCAGGGCCACACAGTTCCTGATCCAGAGGCCAGGGCCTGGGCCTGTCCCCCATGAACTCCAGCACCTTTTGGAGGAAGTTTTGGGCTGGGAGCTGCCAGCAGCCCAGCCTCTCAGGCTTGGAAGGTAAGGATCCCAGGCTCCTGCTGGGGTTTCACAGGGCTGCTAATTTAGGTGCTGGCTGTGGCTCCAGCTCCAGCTGGTCCTGAAAACGGCTATGGACTTCCCTCCTCACTGTGGCCTCCACAAAGCCTGGAGTAGGGCTCGGATGCAGGACCCACCATCTCCTAGCCTCAGAGAATGTGGAGTTAGATGCCAACCTTGGGAGCAATCTCAGAAGAACCTATTCCTTACTCCCAGTAAAGATGTTCTGTGAGCCCAGAATGGCAGAGACCCTGTACCTGGTCCTGTTCTCCGGTGGGGATCCTGCCTGTCCTTGGTTATTCATTCATTACCTGGCCCTCTGGCCCCAGTGACCTTTATTCACCACTGTACCAGAGCCCCAGCTGTTCAGGAGATGGCCATGGCTCTTGTTACTGTATTCCAGATTAGGACATCAAGAGACAAGGGTAGGGACTGGGGACCAAGCTTACAGGGACGACCATGCTTTGCTTCCCACCCTCATGGTTATCATTCCGTCCCCTTCACATTTTTGCCCTTTGCTAAGTGTCCCTTGACCTTGGCCTAAGCCTTTACCTGGCTTGATCCTAGGCCAGGCTGAGTGACCAGCTTCCTCCTGCTGCAGCCATGGCTCCACAGCCCTCTTGGGGCCCTATGCACATGACGGAAAGGGTCCACAGTGAAGGGCTACCTACAGCAAAGTAAGCAGTGATCCATTCTGCACTCAGAGCCCCTGAGCAGGGAGCTGTCTGGAGCAGAAGAGATGCAGTCAAGGGCGACACTGCTCCAATCCCAACACTGGCACTCACCAGTTGGGGCACAGACTCCTCACCTGTATGACAGGGGCAATCTCCTTCCCCTCTCCAGCTGGCCACACTGACTCAGCCAGTCTCTGTGAAGGGCACAGAGCACACCTGTCCCAAATGGATGCTCTGGCAGTCCCTCCTACAGTCATCAAGACTGTCAGAGCACATCACGGGTAGGCAGTAGTGGATGAGGAACTGGCCTCTAGGTCCCTTCTCTCATTTCCACAGGGGAACATGTCCTTGGAGGCTGTCCCTCTGCTCCGTTTTCTTGGAATCACGACTCCTCTGTTCCTGCAGTCACTTTCCTTGCCTGCTCAGGGACATGGGGCTCCCACCTGCCACAGAATCTCAAGCTGTCAAAGGTCTGTGCAGCCCTTGCTAATAACTGCTGCCATTACTAATCACCATCACTGATAACGGCCACAGCAGTCACAAGGCTGAGCTATTATTGACCACAGACTGTGTGCCCGCGCTGCTCCAACCACACACACACAGCACAAACTCTCCTGCAGCCACCGAGGCTGGGCCTGTTCTCAACACACAGGAGCACGGGAAGGCAGAAAAGCCAGGTGGCTTGCCCAGGGTCACAGAGTGCGTGGCAGTTGAGAGGTGGAATGGAACTGGCTAGAGGCCCATGGCCGATCTCTGGGAGAGCCCTTATACAGAGGAGACACAGGACAGCTCCTCCCCACTCCTGGTGCCCCCCACATCCGCCTGGCTAGGGTGCCGGGAGCTGGCCCATGCCCGAGGCCCGGCTCACCGTCTCGTAGTCACGTAGGGCAGCTCGGAACTTGCCCAGTGCCATGTTGCTGGCCGCCCGGCGGTAGTAGCCTTTGATGTACTTCTTGTCAAGCTCGATGGCCCGCGTGGCATCGCCCAGCGCATAGCCGTAGCACTCGGTGCGCAGGTAGGCCAGGCTGCGGTTGCCATAGTAGATGGCATTGTTGGGGTTCAAGTCGATGGCCTGACTGTAGAACTTGATGGCGTTCTCGTAGTCCTTGGCTGTGGAGGAGAAGGAGGCATGAAGCCCTGTTGCCACAGGCAGGAATCCACCCTAAGCTGGTGGTCCTTGCTACGAAAGGGAAGACCGGGGTTCAGCATGGAATCTGTCCCTGATGTCTGACCACAGGCCAGGTCTTGAGGATCAGGCCACAGACTGCAGAACTTGAATCAATCCCACACACCAGCCTAGTAAAGCCCAGGCTGAGCGCTATTCCTTCAGGGCTCCAGGAGGCTTCCCCCAAGTCTCCCCATGATCAGTGGGACGCGTCAGGGAGTGCCAGTGCTGCGGCCTGAGCCAGGCAGACTGAGACGGCCCGAGCCTGGGGCTGTCTAGACGCCCAGGGCAAGCAGGCAAGTCCAGAGACTGGGGGAGCGGGAGGGTAAGGGGAGGAAGCGCCTCAGGTTGCAAGGAAAAGGATCGGCAGGTAAGGAGGGCCACGACCAGCTGGTGCAGCGGGCAGGAGCTGGGGAGGGCGGGACACCATAGCAGCAGGGCTCTAAGTGTGCGGGGACAAGGGTCACTCCTCGTCAAGGGCAAACGGTCAGACTCTCTGTGAACTAAGTCACAGCGGGGGCCCTGAGCTCTCCATCAACCTGTGGGATCCTCCTGTCTCACAGCATAAGCACCATCTGGCACTAACCTGACACAAGCCACAGAGGCCTAGTTCAAGGTCAGAGTCCCATTCGGTACTGGCAGAGGTAGGCCTGACCCCTCCTCCCGAGGGTTCATTAAACAAACAGCAAAACGGAGGCCTTGAGCTGCAGACCTGGCTGGCCAGGCTGGGTACCGGAATGTGCCAGAGGCCACACAGCACCCTAGGACACATGAACCTTTAAGGAACTTAAGGGAGAAAGCCACATTAGCCATCTCCAGATGAGGGCTGCTCAAGTTCAGAGAAGGAAAGCCTGTGCCTGAGTCACATGACAAGTGGCAGATGGGAATTCTGAGGCAGGCAGGCAGGCAGGCACGGCAATGCCTCCATCCTCCCCCCATGTGCCCTGGTGGAAGCCTGGCACAGCACAGACAATGGGAAGGTGGCCTGGCTCTGCTCTTTTTAGGCTGGGTGGACTTGGACAACTTAAACACGCTCTCTGTACTTGAGTTCCTGCTCTGACCCCACTTCATGGCTCTCAGAGAACTCAGTGACTTTTATGTTCTGCTGGCTGAGCCCACACACTCTGGGGAGGGTGTCTGTCTCCTTCCCGGAGCTCCTGCCTTGTCTGGGGACACAGCCCAGCCCTCCAGGGACTGCCGGTGTATCAAGGAGAGAGATCTGACCCCAGACAACAGTGACAAAGTGCTCAGGGCTCAGACGGCCTAGGGGCCCATGGAAGCCCTGGGGGAGAAACCTAAGTGGGAAGGAGTAGAGGAGCCTCCATGAATGGGGAAGGAAGCAACTGGCCAAGGGAGGAGAGAGGAAGGAAGGAGGAAGGAGGGCAGGCAGAGACCAGAGGCGGAACAGCTGGTCCTAGGGGTGCAGCTCAGTAGTCCTTCCTGGACTTCCGCCACAAGGCCCCAATGTCCCTCTCAGGAAGCTCCGCTGACCCCGGGTCTGGGTGAGACACCACCTTGCCCCGGGCTTCCCTGCCTGCCCCAGTTCTGCCACTCTGGTTGTCTCCCGGGCCTGTGAGCCCCAAGACAGCAGGACCTAGAACTTCCCAGAAGCCACCAAGACAGAAAGATGCGGAGGGCAGGCAGCCCAGCTCAGAGGCCCTCCCTGGACGGTCAGGGCCTGAGGGCTCCAGAGGCTGCTGGTTAGTACTCAGTCGGTGAGGTGGGGCTGCATCAAGTGGCAGAGGGCGTGCAGTCTGACACCTGGTGGTGCAGATTCCTAACGCCCAGGGCAGACAGAGGGCCGCTGCCTGGAGCCTCAGCCACAGACCACTTGTCTGCACCTGAGAACCAGGCTGGGCTTGGCCTCACACCCCCCCAAATGGAGGAGGGAAGGAAGAGTACAGGGGACAGGAGGCCCCACCTGGAAGGCTTCTGGCAGCGGTCACACTCCAGCCTGGGACCATTCCTCCACTGCAGCAGTACCTCTAGGTACAGTGAGTAGGACCCTCTAGGTGAAATTCAATTGCTTATCTGCGTTCGCAGAGGAGTGCCCTGAACCATGATGCAGTATCTCCCCCGACAACCCTCAGACCTCGAAGACCCCTGGGTGAGCAGAGCACAGCCTCCTTCCTCAGGGAGAAGGGGAAAGAGCAGAGGCCTGCTTCCCTTGGACTCAGACTGAGCTGGGACCGGGCTCTGTCCCCAGAACCTTCACAGCAGGGCTGGGGGTGGGCCTTCTGAGTCCCTGAGACCCCCCTCCTCCACAGAGTACCCCTTTCTCCCCACTGAGGCCTGATGACAAGGAGAGGTGAGCACGTGGGGAGGAAGGGGATATCCGCCTTCTGCTCACACACTCTGACCTTGGGGAAGAAGTTTCATTCTGAGTCGGCTTCCTCTATAAACCGCCACCCCCACGCCCCAGGCGAGGTTCGACTCAGGCGTACCTGGCCACCGCAGGGGTGCAATGAAAGCCAGCTGCAATTATTCCTTTTATTGGTGTTCTTGTAGTCTGAGCCTGGGGTTCTGTGCTTGCCACTGCCTGCCCCCAGCAGTGGGAGGCCTGGACCAGGAAGGGTGCTCCTCCAAGCCAGTTCCAGGCCAGGCCCCTCTGGCTGCCAGCCCAGCCCTAGGTTTCTGAGAGCCTGCATCTCAGGACCTGGGGGGTGGTGGTGGTGGTGAAAGGTCCCCCCCATGGCTACCTCCTTCCCTCACTTGTCCTCAGCAGCAGCCCAGTTTCTGGTTGCTCCTTTCAGGACCCAGTGAAGGCCGGCCACGAGGTCCAACCACTGCACAGCTGGGTCTGGTCACCTGGTGCTGGCAGCCACCAGCCTTCAAAGCCCTGCAAGCTGGGCACGCTGTCCCGCTAGATAGCATCTCACACCCATTAACTCTCCCCGATTCCAGCAGCCCCACCCCACACTAAACTCTGCCCTCCCCCGCAGAGCCCTAGGCTGCTCTAGCCTCTCTCTACCCTGGCCTCCCAGCTTCCTGCCCCCAGTCTTTAGCAGGCACAGAGCTGAAAGCTCAAGCCCCGTCCCATAGCCTGCTGCCTGTAGTTTCACCCTAACTCTCCTAAGCACCTCCACTCCAGCCCCACTCACCTTTGGGCCTTGCCCAACTGCTACCCTCCCCCTCTCCAGGCCACTAGTCTCATTTCCTCCCCCAGCCAGGTCAGAGGCTCCACCCTCTCACCTGTCCACCCTTCCACCCGCCTCTCTCCAGCCTGGCCTTTGACTCCACAACAGGGAGGACCAGTACCTGTACCCGGAACCAACTGGACCGCTCTTTATCCCCTCCCCACCCCCTGCAACCCTTAGGATGACATCTGTAAACCCACCTGGCCTCTCAGGCCCACTCACTGCTCCCACTTTGACTTCCTCCCACTCTGTTTTATTTTGTTTAAGACAGTCTTGCTATGCATTCCAAGCCGTCACTGAACTCACAATTCTCCCGCCTCAGCCTCCCCAGAGCTGGGAAGACAGGCATGCACCACAATGTCTGGACTTAGCCCCACGGGGGCCCACCTTTCCCTAGGATTCTAGCTCCTTCTCACCCTCCCCCTACCTCCTGCACATCTGTTTCCCCGGGTCTGTATCTCTTCTGGGCCATATCTGAAACAGCATCCCTAGGGACCCCCCACTCCCTCCTGCCACCCCCCCCCATTCCTCCACTCCCCTTCAGAACTGAGACACCTGCCCCGTGGGTGTCCAGTTCCTCGCTTGCATTCACCCCTCAGGGGCTTCTGGGCCGGCTTTAGTTCACTAGTGCTTTGTCAACATCACCTCCTCAGACCGCTGCTGGTCAACGCCTGAGGCTACGGCTTTCTTTCTGGAAGAACCTTCCTCTCCTAGCCTGCGGCCCCTTTCCTGGTTTCCTTTCATCTCACTTGGCCTCAGCAGCTCCTTTTCCGATTTACACATGAAAATTCCGTTCTAGGTTCTCTCGAGATCCCACTGGCGGGTGATTTCATCCATTCCCAGGGCACCTCCAGCCATAGGCTGGGCACACCCAAGATTTTCTCCAGTCCAGACTGGCCCACCGACCTACTCAATGTCTCCTTTTGGACAGCTGAGGCAACCCAAACTAGGCCTTGTAATGACTTCAGAGATTCTGCCTGACCTGGCGCCTCTTATCCTAATCTCATCTTGTACTGGTCAAGCTCCAACTAAGTCAGTCTGTTTTCATTCATTCTCCACCCCCAGGGACTTCGCGTTAGGTCAACTGACCCACGTGTAAAACTCGCCTTTCTCCAGGCCTTCCCTGACCCCCGCTATCTAAAGCAGACTAACCTGCATCCCCTACTCTGTCGCCTCGATCACAAGTTACCAATTATCGGTGCTGCTGAAATCCAAGTCATGTGTCTCATTCATTGGTGCAGCCTCAGAGCCAAGCACAGACGGTGGCACATGACAGTCAATACAAACGTACTAAAGGAATGAATAAATGAATGAATGGACACCCGTTCCCACATCTCCCTCCTCAACCCCAGATCACGCTCTTCTTTCCCGCCCCACCTCTACTCCCTATTCCTTTCCTCGAATCACCCACCCCAAACCGCCTTCCAACCTAGTCCATTTGCATCCCCACAATTCCCTTCTCTACGGGGGGCCCTTCTCTCCTCTCAGCTGGTCCTACCCACCCCAGGTCTCCCCGGCTCGGCAGCGCCATCACTGCCCTACACACATGCCACCGCTTGGCAGCGCCCCCTTCAGGGCTGACCTCCACCTAGCACTTCTGCCCAGGGCTCACACTTGGCAGCAGCAGCAGCACGCTCACAGGTCGGTGCCCCCGGCTCGTCCCCTATCGTTCAGCACAGCCTGCCTCAGTCTCCCTAGTGAGTGGCTTCTGCTCCGTACTCCACTTCGCAGCAGCTCCCTCCCCAGTCTGGCGTCCAGCCCGGGCCTCCTCCTCCTCCTCTTCCTCCTCCTCCTCGCGCCGGGCTACTCGACAGTGCCTGCCCGGCGCCCAGGCTGCCGCTCCGCGTTGCCATGGTTCCCCGCGGGGCCCGGCACCCCCACGGCCTGGGCCGCTGTCCACCCGCCCTCCACCCCCGTCCCGGCCGGACGCACCTTTGAAGTAGTCGTTGGCCTGTGTCTTGAGCTCCTCTGCCCGCTTCAGAGTGCCATCGGCCGGGGGTTCGTCCCGGGGGTGCTCAGCACACTCAGTCCGCTCGCCCTCCGCCATCGCCATGCCGCAAAGCGACCCCCCACCCTGGCAACGGCCGCTCGCGGCACCAGGCCGAACCGTCGCGAAGGAGCGCCGAGTGACCGCCGCCGCTGCCGCACAAGTGTCGTAAAGCGCGGGCCCCGAAGGCGCGCCTGCCGCGCCTGCGCGGCGCTCCCCCCCCTCCTCCCACCCCCCTCCAGCCGCCGTAGAGCGCCGGGAGGACAAGGTGACCAGAGGGTATCCAGACGCCCCTCGTAGAAGGAGCCAATCAGGACGAGGAGAGAGGGAGGGCTGGGGGGCTGGGGGTAGCCCGGAGGGCGCCTGCTCCCAAAGTTAGAGAGTTCTGGGGAAGCTGAAGTTTCTTGGGTCTTAGAGAGTCGGGATTCCTTGGTGATTGGGTTGCGATGCCTCCGGCGGACGGAGCTGCTTTTATGCAGCACCCTGCCCAACCGGGAACCTGCTCCAGAGTTGGGTGCTGCCCCGTTACTCTTGTGACCTTGAACAAGGCTTCCTCCTGTCGCCCCAGTGACCCTTCTGGAAAATGCTTAGTTCCTCAAGGAAACCAAATAAAGCCGGAACCTTGGCAAATCAGTTTTGCTGGATTTATTAACAGGGCATCCTGATTTTCAAGTCGTGAGCCAGTATCAATTGTATCTTGTTTGTTCTAGGTTCAACAGAAATTTTTTTTTTAAATTTTTTTATTTTTGTGAGACAGGGTCTCACTATGTAGACCAGGCTGGCCTTGAACTCACAGGGATCAACCTGCCTCTGCCTCCCAAGTGTTGGGATTAAAGGCTTTCAGCATCATGGCAGGCCCCAGCAAAATCTTTTAAAGGACCAGGGATGTAGCCCACGTGGTCGAGTCCTTGTCTAGCATGCCCCAGGCTTGCGTTCCATCCCCAGCGCCACATAACACCAGTCTGAAAGATGCACCTCTGTAATCTGAACACTTGGTAGGTGGAGGCATGAGGATCGGAATTTCAAGGCCAGACAGGGATACATGAGACCCTGCCACAAACACAACCAACCACACCAACGTGTAATCTCTTACATGACACTCGGGTTGCTGTCTGCGTTTCCCTTGCCTGGATCACAGCATCAGCCTCCTCTGGTGCTTACTTGGGTCCCTCCTCCGGTTTACCTTCCATATGGCAGTCAGAGGCATCTTGCTGGAACACTGTAAGGCTGGCACCCGCCCCAGACTTCCGTGGCTCCCCAGCTCTCTTAGGAGAAAAATCTAAACCCTTTCTGATGAGAAGCTGTGACTAGTCTGGCCTCTGGCCACATCTCCAGACCGCACGGCTCCCTTTGGAACCCCACCTAAGGCAGTGTATCTTCCTACTCTAGCTTCTTGAACTCCTTCTCGGGCTAGACTCTGTAAGTGCTTTTAAGTATCAGCTTGACCCCACCTCCACCCCTGATCACAACCAACAATCACCCTGGAAAGTAGGTACTGGTATCATGTCCATTTTACATGTAGAGACACTGAGGTTCACAGGAATCAATATACTCCTGGGAAGTCTCACTGAAAGTCAGAATCTGAATCTAATTCCTGGGTGCTAGGTTCCTGTTTGACTGCCTCTGTCAGTGCCGGTGGAATCATGTAAGATAGTGAATTTTCTTTTTTCTTTTTCTTTTTTTTTTCCTTCGAGGCAGTATCTGTTCTAATACATTTGAATCCAGCTCGGACTTTTCCTGAGACTATATGACCTTGGGCAAGTCATCACTCTTTCTATGATTTCCTCTCTAAAGAGGAGATAGTCATGGAATATAAATGCAGAGGAGGTTTAAGAAAAGCCTGGCCTGGTGGCTTACACTTGCAGTCCCAGCATTTGAGAGGCGGAGGGAGAAGAATTGCTATGAGTTTGAGGCCAGCTTGAGCCAGTTAGCGAGTACCTGGGTAATAGAGTCAGACCCCATTTTAGTCTCTCTCTTTTTTTCCCAGCTAAAAAACTCCAACCAAACAAAAAGTTCATATGAGTTACAGTGTTTGAATGAGAAGGACGCTCCATATTGAGTCCCGTACAGGTAGTCTGAGTCTGACAGAGTGAATAAAGCTGGAATGAGGGGACTTTCAGGGGGTTAGAAGGACCTTGTCCAACTGGGAGATGCAAGAATGGCTTCCTGGAGGAGTGTTAGAACAGAGCTCTGAAGTATGAGTTAGCTGGGCAAATGAGGGCAGAGGGAGAAAGGCATTTTTTATTTATTTATTTTTTATTTAACGACAGGGTCCCATGTAGCCTCATCTGGCCTTAAACTCAGCATGTAGCCAAGGATTACCTTGAACTCCTAACCCTCCCACCTTCAGTCAGGAAGTGCTGGTATTATAGGTCGTGCCACCAAGCCCTGTTTTATGCGATGCTGGGGCTGGAACCCAGGCCTTCACGCATGCTAGGCAATCACTTTACCAACCGAGGTACATCCTCAGGAAGGACATTAAAGCAGAAGGCCCAGCAAATGCAACCACTTGAAAGTGTTTCTCTTGCCTGCGAGGAACAAGGGAGAGGGGTGGAAGAGTGACATGTACAGAGACGAAACAGAACAGACACACCCTCCTACACAGGAATCTGCAGACTTAGACTCTCCCACGCAGACACACACACACACACAGACACAGACGCACACTCACTCACTCTTCTGGAATTACTGCACTAAACAGTCCCACACACATATGCAGTATCACAACATCACACAGACATTGAAAAAGAAACCACAGTGCCAGGCTGGAGATGTAGATGAACTGGTCGAGTGCTTGACTAGCATGCAACAAGCTCCTCAATCCCCAGGACCAAATAAAACAGGTATGGTGAAGCATGCCTGTAATCCCAGCACTAGGGAGATAAAGGCAGGACGATCAGAAGTTCTTGGCTACATAGAGAGTCAAAGGCTGGCCAGGGATAAATGAAATCCGAGTTAAACAAAAACTCCACAGGCTTCTGAGAAGTGTCAGCAAGTAAAGATGCTGCCACCAAGCCTGATGACCTGAGAGCGTGGTGCTCAGGACCCACGTGGTGGAAGGCAAGAACCAGCTCCTGCAAGTCGTCCTTGATGTCCACATATAATGGCATGCACGCACACCCCAACTCTCTCTCTCTCACACACACACACATGAAAAACCACAATGCTTCTACACAAGTCATTACAGAAAAACAGAGATTACTAATATTGACATGTAGAAGGAATCACACCTGTTCTCAACACTGAAGTATTGCAGACCCATATGCTTACGCAAAATGGCAACATCAGCATACACAACACACACACACACACACACACACACACACACACACACAGGAATCATAAAGTAACATGGAAGCCAAATGTAGTAGTACACCCCTGTTATTCCAGCACTTAAGAAGTGGAGGCAGATGGATCAAAGTTGAAGGTTATCCTTGGCTACAAGTTTGAGGCTAGCCTGGTCTACAGTAAGCTGTTTCATTGTTCACAAACAGACAATGGATACCAGCTACATGGTGTGCCCACACCCTCCAAAGTAACCCCACAGATGAGTCAACACACGTCTGTCTGGTGCCAACCAAGGCGAGGTCTTTATGGTGGTTTTGGAGACAGTTTTGGGTTTCTGAGCCAGCATGGCTGGGCCATGTCCTTCCTCTCTCCTAGCCAGGACAGTTCCTGCCATCGAGGGCCCACAAAACCCATGAGGGGAAGAGAGGTTCACACCCTTTCCCCTGTAGCACCTGGACAGGCCACCTCTTGACAAGACAGATTGTGTGGTGCCTTCCATAGAGTCATGGATGACACAGAGAGGGGAGCCTTTTCCTGTGGAAGACCAAGAGTAGCACCATTGTAGAAGGGAGCTGGGGGTAAGGAGGATGCATAGATGGTGGGAGACAGCTGAGGGGGTCCTGCCCTCTTTCCCCACCCCAAGATATGCAGACAGGGCTGTGCGTGTGCCTGTGCGGCTGGATTATGGATCCCCTAAGGAGGGGAGGGAGCCCCAGGTCCCTAGATACCTGGAGTAGAGTTAAGGTTAAGTGCATGCCTGGATGCTTGGGGTGAGGAGTGAAAGAGGTTCTAGGGTAGAGAATTTTCAGGGCTATGAGACAGGAGGGAGGGGCTTGAGCATGAAGTTCAGGAGCAGATGATCTGGAATGGGAAGACTTGAGAGTTAAGGGAAGAACCGAGACAAGCGCAGCGAGGGTTGGGAAGCCCAGAACAGAGCTAGAAGGATTAGATTTGGACCTAAAGAGTCAAGGGATGGCAGATCTTGATCAAGAGAATCTACAGAGTGAGTTCTAGATTCTACAACAGGAGACATTCTACAACAAGCCCATTTGGAGGCTGCATTCCAGAACCTGAGGAAGTAAGATCGGAAGCCAGAGGCAATTGGAAACTACTAGCCTAGAACCCCAGTGACTCACGAGTAATGGCAGAATTGGAAAAAGCCTAGGACAGGGCATGTGTCTCAGCTGACAGAGTGCTTGCTTGTCATGCACAAAGCTGAGTTTCATCCCTGGTACCATATAAAGTGAGTATGATGATGCACACTTGCAGTTCCAGCATTTGAGAAGTGGAGGGTAGAGGATCAGAAGTTCAAGGTCATCCTTGTGTAATAGTGAGCTGGAGGCCATCCTGAGCTACATGAAATCCTGCCTCCTCTCTGGAAAAAAAAAGCCTAAAAACTAAGTTCTAGAATCCACAGGGATTTTGGGGATCTTACTATCTAGAATTAGAAAGAGACAGGGTTCTAAGGTTTAGAACTAGAGAAATACATAAGGCAAGACATTATCAACTGATATTTCCAAGATGTGCTCTAGATTCAGGGAAATTTAAGTCATAAGATCTGAAGCAAGGGGGTTTTAGTAATTGTGGGATCTAGAACCAAAGGAGCTCACGGGACAAGGTCTAGAATAAGAAGACATTTACAGAGGCTGAGTGTAGCTCAGTTGGTAGAGTACTTGCCTAGCATGCATGAGGCTCTGGGTTCAATCTTCAGTACCACATAAAACTAGGCATGCATGTAATCCCAGCACTTGGGAGGTGGGTGAAGGAGTATCATGAGTCATCCCTGACTACACAGTAAAATAATGGTCAGTGGGTTTTGAGACACTGTCTCAAAACAGTAACAGACCCCAGGAAGTATTTTTTTTCTTTTTGGTTTGTTTTTCCAAGACAGGGTTTCTCTGTGTAGCCCTGGCTGTCCTGGAACTTGCTCTATAGACCAGGCTGTACTCAAAGAGAACCACCTGCCTCTGCTACCCAAGTGCTGGGATTAAAGGTGTGCACGACTACCCTCTGGCTTGATATTTGAAGCTCAGTAATAGGCAGATTATCAGGTCATCTGAGAACAGAGCATCTTGGAAGTTTCAAGGTCTAGAGTTTGCATAATCTAAAACCTGGGTATGATGGAGGTAGTGAAATCTAGAACCCAAGAGAATGGGCACATGGTGTCTGGCTCCAGAAGAGCCAGCTCCAAGTTCAAGACATAACTCACTTTACCCCTCCTTATTGGGGGAAAGCAATTCTTGAATTTTTGAGTGCAGAAACCTGAAGAGAAATAAGATAGATATCGTGAGGTTTGAAACCAAAATGATCTAGAAATAAGATCTGGATTTGAAACCAAATATCTTATGGATCAGAAAGACTGGAACCAGCAGGAAGCTTGGAGTTGTGAGATCCAGAAACAAGAAGGAACTGTCAGTTATAAGATCAAATAGGCTCAGTTTCAAAGGCCTGAAATTCCCAGCTACTTGGGAGGCTAAGGCAGGAGGATCATGAGCTCAAGACCTGCCTAGGTTTACTGAATAAATACAAGGTTAGTCTCAGCAATCGATCAAGATCCTGTCTCAAAATAAAACAAAAAATAAAATGAGGATATAGCTCAGTGGTAGAGTGCTTGTTTAGCAGGTGGAAAGTCCTGGATTTAATCCTCAATACCACACACAAACAGTCTGCAATGACAGGGAGCAGAGGGAATGGGAACCAGAGGGATTTTTAAGAAGATGTCTAGAGCCAGAGGCAACTACAGGAGGAGATTCTGGTAGTTGTAGGCTCTAGACCCAGAGAGCCTTACAGATTATGTAACTCAAACCACACTTTAAAACACTGTGAGGTTTGAAAACAGACAGAATTGGGGGCTGTGAGAGCCAGCCCAAGAAAGAGCTGAAGACTCCAAGATCTGGAACTAGAAGGGTTTGAAGAAACTGAGGTCTGTAGCAGACCATGTTGGAGGTGATGCAGTCTAGAGCCAGAGGGATGTCAATGATAGGACAGTCTAGGACCAGGGAATGACAGAGAAGGCTAGCGGTCACATAGTTTGGAACCAATGAAGACCAGAGGTAGCATAGCCTAGAACCAAAGACAGTCACAGGTTGTATAGTCTAGAACAGCGGTTCTCAACCTGTGGGTTTCAACCCCTTTGGGAGTTGCATATCAGATATCCTGCCTAACAGATATTTACATGATTCATAACAGTAGTAAAATTACAGTTATGAAGTAGCAATGAAATAATTTTATGGTTGGGGGGGCACCACAACGTGAGGAACTGTGTTAAAGGGCTGCAGCATTAGGAAGGTTGAGAACCACTGCTCTGGAACTATGGAAGATCAGAGGGCCTACAATCTAGAATCAGAGAAAAGGCCAGAAAAGTGGCATGTTCTAGAACAGCAGTATGGTCATAAAGTGTACAGTCTTGAATCAGGTAAAAGACCAGAGAATGTACAGACTAGAAAGAGAGAAGATCAGAGGTTGCATAGTCTAGGATGGAAGACGGCAGAAATAACACAGTTTAGAACCATGGTGGCCAGAGGCTACAGTGTCTAGAACAAGGGAAGGCCAGAAGGTCATAAGCCTAGAACCAGAGGAGGTTACCATTGGTACGATAGTCTAGAGCCAAGGAAGGCCACAGGCCTCACAGTCTAGAAACAGAAAAGGATGAGGGGTATGGAATCCAAGAGCCAGGGAAAAACCATGGATTGTACATTTTAGAACCTGGAAGTAGGAAACTCTAGAACCAGAGAGCACCTAGGCATCTAGAACCAGGGAAGGCCCAAGGGCATACATTCTAGAACCAACTAAGACCAGGGGCTGCATGGTCTAGATACAAGGATGGCCCTGAGTCTTGCTGTCTAGAACCAGGGAAGATGGAAAGTGGTAAAGCCTAACACTAGGGAAGGCCAGAGGTGGTTGTATAGTCTACAAACAGTGAAGGCAGGAGTCAAGTATTTTAGATCCAGGGAAGGTCAGAGATTATGGCTCTGCTGAGTGGAAGAAGTTGCTGGCTACCCCTAAAATAGGAAGATCACAAACGAAGTCATTATTCAGGCAAGATTGGTGCCAGCAGGAAGTCAGGAGCAGAAAGGCAGGCGGAGCTGGGTGGCAGTTTGGGGGGCTGAGACTCCACAAGTCACTGGGGGTGAGGTCTGACCCAGAGTCTCCCCACCTTTGCCACCGAGGAGGGGGAAGATCAGAGTCCCGCATTGCTGTGGGATCTGTGCAATGCAGAGTACCTGAATGCATTATTGTGAAAAGGACAAAGCAAAGCTGATAGAAGGGTGACGGAAAACCAAAACAAAACACAAAAACAAACAAACAAAAATGTGATTATGGTTGTCCAAACTCCACGGGGCCAGGATCAGAGACAGACCCCTGACTCTCAGAACCCTTCATTCTTCCAAATAAAGCAAAGAGAGTCAGAGAAAGAGATAGTGAGATAACCAGCTATGGAGAACCCCAAGAGAAGTCCTGAGAGGAGATGGAGGGGGGGGTGTCACACACCCCCTCCCAGAGGTAACTGAGCTGCGAACACTCCAAGAAGCCCCTGAATGGGTGAAGGCAGAGGGCTGGGGGGCTGAGGTAGGACTGAGGCTGGCTGGGGGCTGTGGAGGGCACTCAGAGGAGAGAGGCCCCATCCTGGGTGTGGGCTGCCGGTGTGGAGTGTGGATGAGTCCTTTCTGGGGTGGAAGCAGGGGACTGGGAGGAGGGCTGACTCAGCGGGCCTGGGCCAGTGCTGCTGCTGGTGGGACGTGGTTCCTGGGCTGGATAGTTTCCTCATGCTGGTAGACAGAGAGCAGCGAGGGAGCTAGGCCTGCAGAAAAAGGGAAGGTAAATCAGGAGAGAATCAGCACCCGATCATATACACACCTGCATCTGCAAGCAGGGAGGCAGCGCGGCCAGACGGCTCAGTGGGTAGAGGTGCTTGCTGCAAACCCTGACCATTGGCGTTCGAGCCTGAGAAGCCATATGTTGGAGAGCGAGAACAGACCACTGAGTTTCATCCCCAGGACCCACTTGAGGCTTCAAGTGGAGGCAAAGCTTTTGCTAGCTGCAGGGGAAGATTACCCCCAAAAAGACAGACAAGCCGAAAGGCTGCAGACCAGCACTGCCCCGCCCTGCAGGCACAAGGGGAGGTGTTTCCTGAGCACAGTCTCCATCACAGTTTGGGGGTGAGTTCTGCCCACGCAGCATCTCCACAAACTCATTTCTCCAAACAGGTCCTCCAGGTAAGAATTAGCATCATAAGCTCCCACGGACAGACAGGGGAGCTGAGGCTTCACAGCAGCTGTCCCAAAGTCACGTGGCTGGGAGTTACCTTGTGGAATTACTTCCACCGAGGTCAAGCTTCGAAGTGGAGCCCTATCTGGGTCCACAAGATCTTGGCTTCCACCCCCAGGGGTAGCCTTGGTAAGCTCTTAGCCTCCTTAGGGCCTCTCTCGCTCTCCACAGGGCTCAGGAGAAGAGGGAAGGGCTGCCTGAGGGCACCCTCTACATTGCATAGCTTTATTTCAACTTGGCATAAGCTAGAGTCATCTGAGAGGAGGGAACCTCAGAAAATGCCCCCATCAGATCAGGCTTTAAGAATGTCTGTAGGACATTTTCTTAATTAGTGATTGATGCGTGAGGGTCCAGCCCTTTGTAGATGGAGTCATCCCAGGGCTGGTGGTCTAGGGTTCTATAAGAAAGCAGCTGAGCGAGCCATGGAGAGCAAGCCAGTAAGCAGCACTCCACCATGGCCTCTGCATCAGCTTCTGCCTCCAGGTTCCTGCTCTGCTTGAGTTCCTGCCATGACTTCTCTCCATGATGGACTACAATGTGGAAGTGGGAGTGAAATAAATTCTTTTTTCTCCAAGTTGCTTTTGGTCATGGTATGTCACCACAGCATATAACCCTAAGACACCCTCCTTCACCTACTCCTAAGACGGGTTCCATTCTTCTCTTAATCATTTGTGGAACCATCCAGAGGAGAAGGAACCTGAAGTTTCTGCATATCCAGGGTGTTGTGACTCACCCACGGGCTCACGGGAATCCAAGAGTGGGGTTCTGGGATCCGGCTGGTTCCCTGGGAATTGTCGACCTTGCAGAAGGAAACTCTGGGAATTTAGGGAGACAGAGTTGTCATTATCACCATCATTAGAATGAACACCATCAACATCAGTATCACCATTCATGATGATGGCAATAACATGGCATTACTAGTACCATGACATCATCACCATCAGCAGCAGCATCACTATTCGCATGATTAGCATCAACAACAGCACAGCATCTTTAATATCATCAGCTCCATCTGCATTACCCCATCACTGTTACCATCAGCATCACCACCATCAGTATTATCACCCTCATCTCCATCATCACCACCATCAGTATTATCACCCTCATCAACATCAACACCACCATCAGTATTATCAACAGCATCATCATTATCATCCCAACCACAACCCCCCTACACCACCACCACCACCACCACCACCACCACCACCACCACCACCACCACCACCACCACGTATCTGACAAGACAGTACGGTGCAATGGTTAACTGGAGTCTGGTGAGTACTAGAAATCACTGTTCTCGACATCCTCTGGGTGGTCCTCCCTCCTTTCCCTGCCTCTGTGTCCCAAGAGGCTGACCCCATGGCTGTGCAATTTTGCTGTTTTCTTGCTGTACTCAGATGATGGGCAAGCCTAGCAGGTGTGGGAAGAGGAAGGTGGCGTTCTAGCTGCCTCCCTGCTGGGCTGTGGTGGGTTGGCTGTGTCCCACCCTGGAAGGTGTTAGGCCTTAACAGCTAGGGATAGTGCTGGCCCCAGTGTTACAGCAGCTCTGTGGACTTGCAGATGCTGTACTCACACCATTGACAATCCTGTCATTAAATTCTTCTCAGCACCCCATCTAAGGGTGCTATCTAGACTGACTGATAATGTTGCTTAACTTCTTCTGTGTGTAACTGTCTCACCATAATGACACTGACTGAGATAGGGTTTCTCTGTGTAGCCCTGGCTGCCCTGAAACTCACTCTGTAGACCAGGCTGGCCTCAAATTTACAGAGATCCACCTGCTTCTGCCTTCTGAGTGCTGGGATTGAAGGCGTGTACCACCATGCCTGGCGATATTTATTATTATTAAATAATATTAAAGTGCACTCATAAGGAATAAATAAGTTAACATTGTGAGGTACTGAATGCGGCCAGGATCAGCACACAGTAAATGAAAGCTATTGATATTATCATTCACACCGTTCATATTCAAACAGTTCGTGCAGACTCTGGAGCTGAGTTCTTTGGGAGATAGGGAGGTATTAGACAGAGGCATTGTGGAAGTCATACAGTCCAGGGTAGCATTACAAAAGAAACCAGATTTTGCTGTTGTGCACAGTACGTCTTTTTTTTTCTTGCTTTGTTTTTTGAGACAGGGTCTTACTATGCAGTTCATGCTGACCTCAATCTGCTCATCCTCCCGAGTCTCTGGGGCTGGGGTTATGGGCGTGGCCACCACACTCAATGTTTATTCTTTAAACTCTGCAGTGGTCCTCCAGACCCGAGGCTGTCTCGTTTTGGAGGGGGACCATGGAAACAGAGAAGACTCCTCCTCATCTGATGAACTGCCTCACTCCTCTTGACCTACTTCGAGTCTGGTGCTAGCCATGTATTTGCAAAGTCATTTCAAGCTCATTAGCAGACTCGGAGGATCAAGGTCCTGTCTGTAGCTGGACCACTGACCTTCCATCTGACCTTCAGCCAGCCCCTGGCCCTCTCTGGTTTTCCCATCTATAAAACAGGAGGTTTGAAGCCTGCTAGGTTCAGAGGGTTGCAGAAACCCCACCCTCGACTCTCTAAACCTACCAGGCTGAGGGGAGGCAGCAGGAAGCTTCCAGGTTCTAGGCTGGGGGACCGCTTGGCAGGCTTTGTTTCCAGCAGCTCCACCCCTTTGTCCTCTGAGCTCTGGGCCAGGGCCCTGCAGAGACACAGGCAAGACTCAAAATGCATCAAACCTTGGCAAGTGTGGGTACCTGTGTCAGAAGCTGATGACCTTCCCAAACAACCGTTCAGTCCTTTACATACATGCCTACCATTCCACCCATCCACTCACCACCCATCCCCTCATTCATCTGCACTGTGACTTAGTTTCCGTACAATGAACCTTCTCATTCACCTTCTCCCCATCCCTCCTGTCTATCCATCCATTCATCTGTGCATTCCTTTCCCCACTACTCACTCGTCCTATCCACCCATCCACTCACCTACCTGTCCACTCATTCATTCATGTATACATTCATTCATTCATTCATTCACCCATTCAGCTATCATTCTATCTTCCATTTATTCATCCATCTGGTGATTCAACTATACTTCCATTCTTCTACTGATTAATTCACCCTTTCAAGATCCACCTAGCCATTCATTCATCTATCCACTGAGTTTTCCACTTATCCTTCTCTCCACCCACATATTCATTCATCCATCTAACCACCCATTCACGCATCTATTGATAATTTTTATCTATTCATTTATCTATTTACCTAACCCATCTACCCATCCACTGATTCTTTTCCCCATCTCTCTATCCACCCACTCACCCATCCATCCAACTATCCATTCATCCATCCACCCATCCACCCACCCACCCACCCACCCATCCACCCATCTATCCATCCATCCGTCCATCCACCCATCCATCCATCCATCCATCCATCCATCCATCCATCCATCCATCCACCCACCCACCCATCCATCCATTCATTTCCCTACAATGGCAATAGAGCTCAGCACTAGAGAGTCTGCCTAGAACCCATCAGTGAGGGGATTGGGAGTACGACTCAGTAGTTGAGCACCTAGAAACCCCTAGTGAGAGGCTGAGCTACATGACCTTAAACAAGTGACTGAATGTATCTGGACTGGTGGATTTTAGGTAACTGCTCTACCATTGAACCACATCCCCAAACCTTCATTAGGGATGCTAAGCAAGTGCTCTACCACTGAGTCACACTCTAGCCCCTCACTGGGAAACTCTAGGCAAGTGCTCTACCACCGAGCCATGGCCCCAAGTCCCTCACTAGGGGATTCTAGGCAGGTGCTTGGTGGGTTCTAGGCAAGTTCTCTACTGGAGAGCTATATTCCCAGCCCCAGTTTCTTCTTATTGTAACAAAAAGTGTCAATAAGTCAGATGTAAATGTGGGGTTAATTCCTGGCTGCAGTGGGATTTGGTAAATGGTGAGAGCAGTGGAGGGGCCTCCAGTAAAGGGTTGGGACAAACCTGGCATATGCTGGGAACATGCAGGGCCTGGCTGGAGAGGTGGAGACAGGAAGCATGCTGTGGGATGGGGCTGATGCAGGAGAGTAAGCAAGGACCTTCTATATGCCTGTGTTAAGTCCCGCTTTCACTGTGGCTCACCTCTTCCGAGTTCCAGGCATTAGGGAGGCTGTGGGAGGATTCCCCTTGGAGGGGCTGGAACAGTTCAGTCGTGGATCACTCCCCCAGCGGGGCAGCAGGGAGGGCTCTGGGATGGGGGGCGACAGGCCATGGAAGCTCCGAGCCCGGGGTCTGCGGGCCACCCTGGGAGGTCTGCGGTGGGTTCTGGGCAATTGCTCGCAGGAGTTGAGCTGGAAGTCATCATCCATGGAGATGTAGGGAGCCAGCATCTCCAAGTCCAGAGTGTCAGGGTCCTGTAAGGGGGCAGGAGGGAGTTTACAGCAGGAGCCATGGCCTGGGGGTGGGGAGGGGAGAGTCCTAGGCTGGGTGCTGGGTACTAACTCCTCTGAGGTGCTCACCTGAAGCTCTAAGTTTTTCCTGCCCTATCTCTCAAATGGGCACAAAGACTGTGTGGCGGTCAGTTCCTATGGTGCTACAATGATTCTCCTTGGGTACAGTCCCCTTCCATAGAGATCAACCAGGTGGCCTGGGGTTAAAAGGACATGATGCTGCCTGTCTTTTCCATTTAACTGTAAGGCATGATACCAGTGACCGCCACCGCCGTCATTTATGTCTCTCTGTCTTTGTCTCTGTGTGTCTCTCTCTTGCTGTGTGTTGTAGAATATTACTTTGAGGTGTGTACTTTTGTTTATGTTGCATTTGTTTAACTCTGGGAAGCTGTGTTACTGTGCCTGTCTAAAACGCCTGGTGTCCTAATAAAGAACTGGCCAATAGCAAGGCAGGAGAAAGGATAGGTGGGGCTGGCAGGCAGAAAGTAGATATAAAAGAAGAAAAGAGATGGAGGAGAGCGGAGAGCTAGCAGCCAGAGAAGGAGGAGGACTCCAGGGCCAGCCACCCAGCTGCACACACACACAGTAAGCCACGGAGGAAGAGAACAGGAAAAGCCCAGAGGCAAAAAGGTAGCTGGGATCATTTAAAGTGAAGGAAAGCTGGCAAGAAAGAAGCCAAGCTAAGGCCAGGTATTCAAAAGTAATAACAAGCCTCCGTGTGTGATTTATTTGGGAGCTGGGTGGCGCCCACCCAAAAAAGACCAAAACCAAACAACAACAGCTGTGTCTTTGTGGTTCTGACCATGTCTCCCCAGCTCTGCCCATAGCTCTTTCTATCTCTGCACTCTTTGTCCCTGTCTCTCTGTCTGTCTGTCTCCTTTCTGGGTGTCCGTCTCTCCCCCTTCTTCATCTCTGTCTCTTCTTCACCCCTGTCTTTCTATATCCCTGTCCGTCCTTCCATCTTTCCCTTCTTTGTCTCCGTGTCTCTCCGAGTCTCTGCCCCCCCGCCCCCCATCACTGTCTTTGTCTCTGTCACTATCTGGATGCCTGTTTCTCTGTCTCTCTGCCACTGCCTCTCTCTCTCTCTCTCTCTCTCTCTCTCTCTCTCTCTCTCTCTCACCTTTCTAGCTCTGTCACTTTGTCTCTATTTCCTCTGTCTCCTTCTCCATCCTTCTGTCTTCCATTTCCCATGCCCAGCCAATGAAACAATGGTCTACCTATCCAATTATCCATCTATCCATCTATCTACTTATCTACCCACACAAACATCCATCCATCCATCCATCCATCCATCCATCCATCCATCCATCCATCCATCCATCCATCCATCCATTCATCCATCCATCCCATCACCCTTCTGTAAAGCCAGATAAGCTGAGCCCCTCCATGCCAGTCCTCACCTGAGCTTTATCTAGATCTGTCTCCACAGTCTTGTTTTTCCGGGCAGTGGAGAGTCTGCATGCATTCTCTGAGCCACCAAGCACCTGATCTGGGAGATCAGCCTGGAAACAGAGCACAAACACCGGAGACTGAGTCTAGAAGTGCTGACCGTAAGATCTTGGGGTAGAGGTAGGGGGTCTTAAACCGGAGCTTGCAGGGGGTCAAATAGCAGTGTAAACAAAGGTGTTTTTGTTTGTTTGCTTGCCTGTTTTTGTGGTTGTTGTTTTATTTTTTTGAGACATTGTCGCACATAGTCCAAGGTGACCCCTGAATTCACAATATAGCTGAGGATGACTTAGAATTTAGGATCTTCCTGCTTCTAGTTCTCAAATTCTGGGATTACAGCTGTGTCTCATCATTCTTTTATCTATCTATCTATCTATCTATCTATCTATCTATCTATCTATCTATTATTTTGAGGCAGGGTCTGTGATGGTTAGCTCTGTCAACTTGCCATAGCCTAGAATCAGCTAGAAAGAAGGAATTGAGTTGGCTTGCAGATATGTCTGTGGGTGATCATCTTAGTTCATTGAGGTAGGGGCTAGAGAAATTGCTTAGTGGTTAAGAAAATTTGTTGCTTTTCCAGAGGATGCAGGTTTGATTCTTAGCATTCACATGGTGGCTCAAAACCATCCAATAACTCCAGTTCTGGGGCATCCGATGCCCTCTTCTGATTGCCACAGGAAGCAGGCACACATGCTGTGCACATACGTACACGTAGACAAAAACACACGCACAAAATTTAAACTTAATTGATGCAAGAAGACCCAGCCCACTGTGGGTGACACCATTCCCTAGTCAAGGGTCCCGAACTGCCTAAGAATGGAGAAATGATGCTGAGCTGAGCACAAGGGAGCATGCATTCATTCATTTCTCTCTGCCCCTGACTAGATGTGATATGACCTATGGTCTCATGCTCCTGTGACTTCCCTGCAATGATAAAATAAACACCAGAATTACAAGTCAAAATAAACCCTTTTTCCCCTGAGTTTTTTTTCTGAGGGTGTGTGTGTACGTATGTGTGTGCACCCGTGAATGCACGTGCGGGCACATGTGCACATGAGTGCAGATGCCCACAGAGTCCAGAAGAGTGTGTTGGCTCCTCTGCAGCTGGAATTACAGGTGGTTGTGAGCCATCCAATGTGGATGCTGGGAACTGGACTCGGGTGCTCTGCAAGAGCAAGCATCTAACCACTGAGCCATCTCGCCAGCTCCCTTCGTCAGGACAGTTTATCACGGTAACAGAAATGAAAACTAAAGCACGATCTCATTCCAGGCTGGTCTGGAACCCACTACATACCTAAGGCTGGCCTTGAACTCTCCCTGCTTCAGCCTCCTAAGTGCTGGTATCGCAGGAGTGCACTTCCATGCTTGGCTGTTTGATTTTTTTTTTTTTTTGAGGCAAGGTTTTCTTGTGTAGCTTAGGCTAGCCTTAAACTCAAGCCCCCTGCCTCAGCTTCCCAAGATCATGGGTGTGTGCCACCATATTTATCTTGCAACCATAGGTCTTAGGTTTCCATCCCTAAGATGGAGAAATTGAAAACAGAGAACAGCAAGGCTCAAGCCCGAGGCCCGGGCAGCACAGGTTCTGTATGCCCGGAGAGGTGGCACTGCTTACCGGAAGAGGACTTTGGGGTCTCCGTGTAGCCTGTGGGGTGCTGGCGGTGGCGGCTATGGGAGGCCCATCCAGGATGGGTGCCATGAGGCGGCGCAGGTCTGGGCTACAGAAACGGCGAGGGTCAGCAGCCAGGGAGGCCTCACTCAGGGCCGGAGGGTGCAGGAAGGCCAGGATCCGGGGAGCAGGTGGGTCTGCAGGGTGAATGGAACACAGTGCAATTACGCAGGGCTGAGGGCCAGACCCTGCTCTGCTGTGCTCAGCCTAGAGGATGCCGGTTACGTCTTCAGCAGCACGTGAAGATGGCCATTGTGTTTACTCTGGAGAGGAGTGGCCGGAGGGCCTCATTTTAGGCCATTTCCTAGTCAGATTGCTGTGGCGCCCTGGAGGGTCCTTGAGGAAGGGCCTAGGGGCTGCGAACAGCATCTGGCCATTCCATTCCTGTGTGTTGAGCCTGGCTGGAGACCTTCTCCCCCAACAAGGATTAGGGAAGTGTGAGCGGTAGGGAACCACAGTGGAGGAAGAGAAGGAGACAGGAAACTCAAGCGATCATCACCGCACTCATGGATACAGAGAGGACTGCAGGGAAAAGCATTCTAAGCAGAGGAACTGCATGTGGAAAGGCTGTGAATAGAAAAAGGAGTGCGGCATGTCCCGAGAGCTGAGAGGAAATCGGCGTGGACAAGGGGAGAGAGGCAGCAGACCGTCCCACGGGGTCTTGTGAACCTCGCGAATGCATCTGACCTTTCTTCTAGGGGTCCCGAAGACACAATGGCTTTGATCCATACCTAGACCGTTGCCAGGGATGCCCTTCTGCGAGGAGGTACCCCGCTGAGGGGGTCTGCGAGTGTGTTGCTCTGTTTGTTCCAGGGACAGCACCACGCCTGTTTCTTCTACCCGGCTGGGAGGGGGGCGGGGAGAAAGAAAAGTAGGAGTCAGAGAGTATCCGTGCCCACCCACCTGCCCCCAGGCAGCTGCGTCCAGTGTCTTCCTGCAGAGGCCACGCCACCTAGAAACTGAAGGGGATTTGCCAGAAAACAATCTCCCACACTGCTTTCTCACCAGGATTTATTTTGTTTGTTTGGGATGAGTCTCGAGTAGCCCAGGCCGGCCTCAGCCTCGTTAAGTAGCCATGGCTGACCTTGAATTTCTGATTCTCCCATCTTCACCTCCTGAGTGCTGGGATTACAGGCACATACCACCACGCTCAGGTTATGGGTGGAACGCTGGGTTTTGTGCATGCTAGGCAAGTGTTCTACGTCCCTAGCCCCTCAGAAATGCTTTTGCTCCCAAACATTTAGCATAAGGAAATGCTTTTGCTCCCAACCATTTAGCATAAGGGAGACTCAACCTGTAATGGCTTTTATGTATTTATGGGTTTGTTTGTTGGGCTGGGGATTGAACCCAGGACCTCATGCATGGTAGGCAAACACTCCTCCACTGAGCTATGTCCCTAGCTCCTGCAGTGGTGTTGAAAAGAAACTTAAAGCCTAGAGTGGTGGAGCCAACATACCTTCTGGTACTTGGGAGGCTGAGGCAGGAAGTTTGAGAGTTCGAGGCTGGCTTGAGCTGCCCCATGAGACCCTGTCTCAACAAGACAAAACAAGACAGAACTTGTTGGGCTTGATGGCTGCTGCCTATAATCCCAAGACTCAGGAAGCAGAAGCAAGAGGGTCAGGAGTTCAAGATCAGTCTCAGCTACACAGTGAATTTGATGTTGGTCTGCTCTATAGAAAATTGTGTCTCAAAAAAAAAAAAAAAAACCATATTCTTCATTACATTTCCAAATATGAAGAATTCATAGCTACGTTTCTATGAATAAGCATTTATTTGAGAAGCTTCTATTCATAGACATCTCCATCCTCAAGGGAACAGGTTTATAAATACATCCTTTTTCTGTCCCCCGCACCTCCCATCCCACAGTCTCTGGCTCTGGAGACAACTCAAATGCTGGCTGGGTAAATTGGTTTTGGGGGAGTGGGTCTGAGGTTGAGGACCATGCATGCATTTGCATCCATTAGCGTAAGCATCCCATAGGGCAAAACGCAGACGTTATGACTCTACCCTCACTAAACCTGTCCTGGGGATGTACCAGTTTAAGACAGCCACCTTTATCCCCTTGGAGGACAGAATGTCCATAGTGACACAGGCACACACTCGGCACACACAGACAGAGAGGAATGCCTGTAGACACCCAAGCATTTAGAGGAAAAGAACACACACACAAACCTCCATGTACTTGGTGTCAAATATGTGCATACAGGCCACATGGAGCTCATTCGTTTATTCATTCCACAAACACCTCTCAGGGAAGCATCACCACACAGAGGTTGATAACAAGGACTATGAAGCTACCAGCTTGGGTTCAAATCTCAGCTCTGCCATTTCTGAGCTGTGTGGCCTTAAACATGTGACTGAATGTCTCTGGACTGGTGCACTCTAGGCAAATGCTCTAACTACTGAGCATTACCCCCAGCCCCTCACTGGGGGATGCTAGGCAGGGGCTCTACCACTGAACCACACCCCAGCCCCTCACTGGGGGATTCTAGGCAGGGGCTCTACCACTTAGCCACACCCCAACCCCTCACTGGGGGATTCTAGGCAGGGGCTCTACCACTGAGCCATACCCCCAGCCCCTCACTTGTGGATTCTAGGCAGGGTCTCTAACACTGAGCCCCACCCCAGCCCCTCATTTGTGGATTCTAGGCAGGGGCTCTACCACTGAGCCACACCCCCAGCCCCTCACTGGGGGATTCTAGGCAGGGGCTCTACCACCGAGCCACACCCCCAGCCCCTCACTGGGGGATTCTAGGCAGAGGCTCTACCACTGAACCACACCCCAGGCCCTCACTGGGGGATTCTAGGCAGGGGCTCTACTACTGAGCCACACCCCAGCCCCTCACTGGGGGATTCTAGGCAGGGGCTCTACCACTGAGCCACACCCCAGCCCCTCACTGGGGGATTCTAGGCAGACAGAACTCAGCCCCCCAGCCATTTCCCCAGTTCCTCTGTGGGCCATTCTAAGCAGGTACTCTACTCCAAATTTTATCAATTTGAATTCCTAAAATGAAAATATGCAGCAATAAGACATGTTGGCAAGGATGGAGACCACTGGGATTCACATAAACTGCTGAAGGGAATGCAAAATGACACAACACTGTGAAAACAGTTTTTCGGTTCCTTAGAAAGTTAAATTTTCATGGAAACATATGACCCGCCCATTCCACTCCTAGATGTTTACCCAGGACAAACGAAAATGTTCATTCTCACAAAATCCCACTTGAGAATGTTTATAATGGCTGTTTGTATAATCCCCCAAACAGGAAACAGCCCAAAGTCCCCCAGCTGGCACATGGATAAATAAACATTCATTCTCCATTCATTCTCCAATGACCACTAGTTACCATGAGAAAGGAACTGTTGGTCTGGACCTAGTGGTTTACATTTGTAATCTTACATTTGTAATTCCTGCCCGAGGCAGGAAGTTTGCTGAGAGTTTGAGACCAGCCTGTCCTACATGAGACCCTATCTCAAGACACCAATACACTTTTTTGTTTTGTTTTGTTTTGTTTGTTTGTTTTGAGACAGGGTTTCCCTGTGTAGCCCCGGCTGTCCTGGAAATCGCTCTGTAGACCAGGCTGGTCTTGAATTTACACAGATCCTCTGCCTCCCAAGTGCTGGGATTAAAGACGAGCCACCACCATATATATTTACTTACTTTTATGTGTATGGATGCTTTACCTGCCTATATGACTGTGCACCATGTATGTGTAGTGCCCACAGAGGAGGGTGCCCAATCCCCTAGGACTGGAGTTACAGATGGTTGTGAGCTACCATGTAGGTGCTGGGAATTGAACCCAGGTCCTTTGAAAGAACAGCCAGTGCTCTTATTCGCTGAGCCATCTCTCCAGCCCACAGATCTATTACCAATAAGTTTTTTAAAAAATTAGCAAAGGGCCCGGGGGTGCACACCTTTAATTCTAACATTGGGAGGCAGAGGCAGGTATATCTCTGTGAGTTTGAGGCCAGCCTGGTCTACATAGAGTTCTAAGACAGTCAAGGCCACTTAGAGAAACCCTGTCTCTAAAAAACAAAAACATACACACACAGACACATATGCATATTTCTATGGCCATATGTATTCCACACAGGCACATACATACTTCCTTATGCATGCACAACACACAGGTCTGCTTGTGCATCCCTCCACACACACTGCATCCCTCTGCTCACCTGATCAGGAAGTGGACACAGATGATACTTTCCGACTGGGGGCCCCGTCCCCCTGACACCACTGTAGCCTGGGTCTGAGTCCACAGGTAGCCTCCGGTCCGGGCCAGGAAGCGATACTGCCCCGTTACTGCCTGGCCCTTGCTCAGCACTGGGGATAGGATGGATAGGGGTCAGGGTCACAGCAGAGACACTTGGGGACAGAAAGCTCAGGAAGCTGGAATTAGGAATGAGAGGTCACTGAAGACAAAAATGCAGGCTCTAGCATTTGGGGTTCAGGGGGAGGCAGGAGTCCCACAAAGCCCTGGCCTTTCTGTTTAGGAGGCCAGGGATTGCTGTTAGGTGGGGCCATGCAGCAGCTGGCTCTGGCCTGGGGACATGTTGGTCACCTACAAGTGTGGATGCTTCTGCTGACTGCATCGGAGTCCAGTGCGTGGATGTATTCGTAGGCAGAACAGCCAATCAGGTCGTCAGGGCTGTAGCCAGCGACTTCTGCGATCCTGGAGTAAAACGGAGAGGTACTGGTCAAGGCCCAGATGGAGGGAATGGGGAGGTGTCAACAACAGCGAGATGAGAGACAGAGCAGCAACCGAAAGGCAGGCGTGGGTAAGAAACAGAGAAAGAGAGTAGAGTATGGTGACTTGTAATAACAGCCCTCAGGAGGTTGAGGCAAGATTGAATTTGAGGCTTGAGATTCAGCAAGGCCGTAAAACCAAAGGCTCAGGGCATGTCTTAGTGGAAGAGTCTAGAATTCTCTAGGGGTTGAGGTGTGGCTCAATGGTAGATCCCCTGCCTAGAATCCCCCAGTGAGGGCTGGGGGTGTGGCTCAATGGTAGAGCCCCTGCCTAGAATCCCCCAGTGAGGGGTTGGGGTGTGGCTCAGTGGTAGTGCCCCTGCCTAGAATCCCCCAGTGAGGGGCTGGGGTGTGGCTCAGTGGTAGAGCACCTTCCTAGAATCCCCCAGTGAGGGGCTGGGGTGTGGCTCAGTGGTAGTGCACCTGCCTAGAATCCCCCAGTGAGGGGCTGGGGTGTGGCGTGGTAGAGCCCCTGCCTAGAATCCCCCAGTGAGGGGCTGGGGGTGTGGTTCAGTGGTAGTGCCCCTGCCTAGAATCCCCCAGTGAGGGGCTGGGGGTGTGGCTCAGTGGTAGAGCCCCTGCCTAGAGTCCCCCAGTGAGGGGCTGGGGTGTGGCTCAGTGGTAGAGCCCCTGCCTAGAATCCCCCAGTGAGGGGCTGGGGTGTGGCTCAGTGGTAGAGCCCCTGCCTAGAATCCTCCAGTGAGGGGCTGGGGTGTGGCTCAGTGGTAGTGCACCTGCCAAGCATGTGTGAGGCCCTGCATTTCACCCCTAGTACCACAACAATAAGTAAATAAGTAAGTGAAAAAAGAAAATAACATGGTGTGTGTGTGTGTGTGTGTGTGTGTGTGTGTGTGTGTGTGTGTGTAGGAAAGGTGGAAAGTGAAGAGGCAGAGAAGGTAAAGAAAATGATGTGAAAGAAGCATGAAGATAGAGCAGAAACTACAAAAAGAAAGAATGAAAATGGATATAGACTGAAAATGAGACACTTGGACTGTGCGTTGCCCTATGCGAGGCCAGGAGTGCTAAGAGCAATGGCAAAAGACAGGGGGACATAGTTCTCCTACAGGATGGCTGAGGGCGCTGAGGGGCAGAGAGATGAAGTCACTTGGTCAGTGTTACAGACCCAGGGTGGCAGCCTGAGAAGTCAGAACCTAGAGTCACGGCTTCTGAGCACGTAGGTAGCTTTCCTAGCATGCACAAAGTCCTGGGTTCCATCCCCAGCTCGCCTGTAATACCCTCCCTCAGGAGGTGGTTAGACATTTAAGGCGAGGGGGAAGGGAGGAGAGACGGAGAGACAGAGAGAGAGAGAGAGAGACAGAGAGAGACAGAGAGAGACAGAGACAGAGAGACAGACAGAAAGACACAAAGAGAGACAGAGACAGAGAGAGACACAGAGACAGAGAGAGACAGAGAGATACACACACACAGAGACAGAGAGAGACACAGAGACAGAGAGAGACAGAGAGATACACAGAGAATATTGGGGCAAAACCAACCAGAGGAGATGGCGGATGGGTGTGGTCCTGCACAAAGCCACTGCCTACCTCTCGTCACAGTACGTGAACTTCATGTCCAGGCTGTGGCGGCTGAGAAAGGCCCCCCGGCCCAGAGGGGGCTCCAGACTGGCTGGGTGGGGGATGGCTTCACAGATAAGCACCAGGCATTGCAGGGGAGGCTCGGAGCGAGGGCTCCCGGCGGGGGACGTCTGTGCAGGGGGCTTGTAGGCCCTCATGTGTCCTGAGCAGTGCAGCACCTTTAGGTCAAGTGGGGCGTTGTCAGTACCCATCTGAGCCTTAGGCTACCCACGGGGCTGGGAGAACTGCGTCTGGGTCCCATAGGGAGAAAAGATCCTTGATTATTCTAGAAAGTCGTGAGGAGCTCTGGGATCCTCATTCCAACCCTCGGGACACTTAAATTCAGGAGGCGGAGGACCTCTCCATCCTCAATGTCTGGCCCCGGGAAACTCAATTCATAGGTGCTCTAATACCCTACCGGACTCAGTCCGAAGGAGTTCCAGCAAATCTCTGAGCCCGTGAGACCCCAAATACAATAGGGAGTGAGATCTTCAGGGGTCAGACCCACCCCACTGAGACAAGGCCCAGCCTACCTTCCAGGTGGCAGCTTTGAGGTTGAGCGTGCGCCCTCTGCTGGTGAGTGTGCTCTTCATGCGCAGGGAAAAGTGGCGTTCCGTGGGGGCTTCCAGCTTCTTTTTGGACAGGCCTGGAAAGGCACAGGGAGGGGACATGCCACTAAGTGAATGTTAAAGTCTCCCCAGCCTCAGAGATGGCTTAATGGTTAAGAGTGGGTACTACTCTTAGAGGACCTGAGTTTGGATCCCAGAATCTATGTCAGGCAGCTCACAACCACCTCTAACTCTAAAACCCACTTTCGGGCCTCTGAAGTCACATGCAAGATCATACCACCCCTTCTCCCCCCGCCCCCGCCACTTAAAAGAAAATAAAAATAAAATTTTCCTTCCTTCCTTTTATAATTTTTTGGGGGACAGGGTCTCTCTGTAGTCCTGGCTGTCCTGGAACTCACTCTGTAGACCGGGCTGACCTCAAACTCACAGAGATCTTCCTGCCTCTGCCTCTCGAGTGCTGGGATTGAATGCATGCGCCACTACATGCGGCAAAAATAAAATCTTAAAGTCTTCCAGCCTCATCTCCAAAGCTGGGACTTGGAACCAGAAAAGGGAGTCCCCAGGGAAGGGAGCACTCAGGGAAGGGAGTCCCCAGGGAAGGGAGTCCCCAGGGAAGGGAGTCCCCAGGGAAGGGAGTCCTCAGGGAAGGGAGTCCCCAGGGAAGGGAGTCCCCAGGGAAGAGAGCACTCAGGGAAGGGAGCACTCAGGGAAGG